GACGGGTGAATTTTATATTTAAAATGGATGGCACTGATCTGAGTAGAGTGTCCCGCACTGAGATTGCACAGGGGTGACGTTAGTGTCCTCTCAGTTCCAGAGTCCTGTGAGAAATAAGAGATGGAAAACGATTGGATAAAGTATTTGGTTTGAGTTGTGCAGTTGGTAGGGCAATGACCTTGTTAGCATGGAGACAGGTTTTATTTTACAGAATAAAATAGTCAACAATTACAGACACTTGATTCTAAAGTCATTTGTATATTCTTGTATAATTTTACATAGATTTTCCATGTGGAAGCCTGGTTGATTACCTGTATAAAGCATTTTTTCCCCTAGACCTTTTCTGATTGGCTAGCTGTTGTAACTGAGGGCAGATCTGTCAGTTTACTGGCCAATAAAAATAGCTGTGAACTCTATGATGTCACCACTGAATAAATCACTTTGAATATGAAATGGCAACAAGGAAGAATTCCCACAATTCAAAGCAATACAGCAGCACATTCATGTAGAACCAGTAAAACAGAATTCCCTAAATAGACTACATAACAACATATTTATGCTGAACTGATCCAAGTGCATGTAAAAAATTGATTCCAGATTGTAACAGAAATAATAAAAAAAGAGAAATATTTAAAAACAAAACTAAAAGTGTTTCAGGTAAATTCAGGGAACATTGCGGGAAGCAAAAAGCCACAATGAAGTATTGGAGAGCACTGAAACATTTGGTGGAACTGCCCTTTAACATGAATTGTGCATGTGATTGTCTTATAGCATGCAGAATGAACTCATCTGTGTTCCTGGCATTCTGAGGCACCAACACCATCTGACTGCAGCCGAGTAAATCATCGCTGTTGGAGCATGTGACGCTACAGCTTTGTAACCGCATCTCCACTTCAATCAGTTCAGTTTCTTTCTTTCTTTCTTTTTTTCTTTCTTTCTTTCTTTCTTTCTTTCTTTCTTTCTTTCTTTCTTTCTTTCTTTCTTCCGTTCTCTGGGGACAGTAGTGCCCTCCTTTGCTTGTGGGACAGGAATGTTCAACAGCAGGGTGACAATCTCCTGCTAGCCCTTTACAAACACGCACACATATACACCGAGGATGACATCAGCTGCTTGTCTACATCGCTGGGACACTCCAGGCTGCCAAAGAGGGAATGTAGCACCCGTCAGTTACTTCAGCCATGTTGCTTGTTCACGTACTATCCATACTGAGTGGGTTAGCTTTTAATAAACAGGCCCAAGGAGAAAGTATCCCCATTTGATGGAGAAAAAGGCTACCGAGAGAGAGGAGGACAGTGCATTTGTTGGGGACAATTAAGTGTAAAACTGGCCAGCTTTGTTTCATATATAATAATATAATTAATATAATATTATATTATATAATTAATTTTAAAGATAGTAATTAATCTATATGGTAATTCATCTATTCCCCTGCTAAAAAAAAAAAAAAAAAATATATATATATATATATATATAAATAATAATCAAATATGATCCTTTGAGTTAAAAGTCAATAAAAGGTTTATTGTGTTAAAGATTATAATTCATATTTTCCCCTTCATTAAAAATAACATAAAATAAAAAATTAAGTAAAATAATAAAAATAATACGAAATAAAGGAATAAAATAAAACGCTAAAATTAAATAAATAAAATAATGATCCTATGGTTTTACAAACAATGCTGGCCTTTCCAAAGCAAAGAATGGCCTTGCTTAAGGAGTCATACTGAACCCCAAATCGAGCTCAAATTCATCTAATTGCAGTAGTTTAATTGTGATAAGACACGGCAAGGGAAAAATCGAACATACTGTAATTGGACATGCAGGGATGATCTCGTTCAGTGTGAAAGCAGATTTGTTAAGCTTGAGATAATCTTAGATGACAATCAAGCATCTTCAGTTCCTGCTCTTAGCTCATGTAACACAGTTAAGTGTTTAGGGGCTAAAGTTAAACCAACATTCTAGAGCCCTGATTATAGTGTAGAATCAGACTGCTTGTGGCCTTTGTTGTGGTAACACCTTGTTGTGTGTGTGTGTGTGTGTGTGTGTGTGTAACCAGCCCTGACCCCTTTGGTGATGAGCCAGATTAGCTTAAAATCAGACCCTCACAGGATATGACCCCCTATGTAAATGAGTAAGTGTGCTAGCAGTAAGGAGAGCGTTTTGTATGTATTTTTTGGAATTACATTTTTTATTAGTTTTTTACTTGCAATATAAACCACCTTGTGCAATACAATGCTCCCTGCATCACAGATACATGTCAGTCAGGGTAATTATAGATAACTAAAACTAAAATCATTAAAAAATGTGTTACATTCATTTTTTAAAACAAGATTTTAAGATTTAAATGTATATGAAAGTATAAGTTAGAGTATATTTGAAAGATTTATTTTAAAAATAAATTTGAAAAAGTATATAAAAACATTTTAAATAATTATAAAATATAAATATTTGATTTAAAATTGTTTTAGAATTTTTTTGTATAGCATGTTACACTGTATTACATCAACGTCCTTAAAGTATTTTGTAACAAAATACTATCTGTACAAGAATCTGAATGTGTTCACAGAGTTCAGATAATTTTTTCCTTGTTAACTTAAATGTTGCAGAACAAGAACATGAAAAACTATCAATGGTTTTGTTATTATTTATTTTTTTATTGCACATATTTATATATTTACACAATCCTGCAGTATGTTGTATGTTACATGGTATTTTAACCCCTGTGATCACCTGACTGAGTTGTCAGTTTAGTTTTATGACTGGGAGATTTGGTCTAGCATGAAGGGTCTAAACCAAATAATGATGTAATCAATGTTTATTTTCTGCTTGTTCACAAATACAGACACACAAACATACAGTCTTAGGAAGAGGAGCCTGGACAGAGAATGAAACAGGAATAAAGAGAAATGGAGCTGGAAGGAAAGTGAAGGGAAGGGGGGCCATCTGTCCATCTCCTCTGTTCCCTAGTTTGGTCACTCAGAGCTCTACATCGGGGGTCATACGCTGGGGCTCAGAGATTGTGATACAGACTGGGCTAGACCTCACACACATACACATATAGTCATACAACCTGTTTTCTTAGTAATGACAAATGACTTACTGATCCAAAAAGGAGGGAGAGAGTGATATGTGTTACTGGGAAGACTTTGAGAGAGAGAGAGAGAGAGAGAGAGAGAGAGAGAGAGAGAGAGAGAGAGAGAGCAGTCGGTCATGGCCATTAATATAAATGGTTCATCCTACATGTGGTCATAGTGCAGAGTCTGTTTTAAACTCTGTGCTGCGTGTCATCAGGAGCAGCTGTCCGTCACGCTGAAGCTCTCAACCCCTTTCCCTGTGGTATTGCATCATTCCCCCTGTATCCCAAAAAAAACCCCACACCAGTGCGAGTAAAGTTTCACAGTATGCTTTAGCCGAGACAGACATTAGATTGGCAACAGCATGTCCATGACTGCAGAACACATTCAGATAACAAGTCTTTAAATGTGTGTAAAATGAGAGGTTAATGGTCCCAGACCTCCTGACCTCCAACAGGGAATAGTTAAGCATGTACTCATGACAGCAGTGCGGAGTTTGATCCAACTTTGTCTCAAGTGTCCATGTCTCTCATTCCCGTAAATGTACACCATAACAGTGCGAGTATATTGGCTGTGTTAAAACAAATCATTACGTTGCATTTGCATGAAGTACTGTAAGTGTTTTTTTTTAATTGATCATACACAGGAAATATCCAGTGCTTACTTTAGTAATGTATATGCGAATATACATGGGAACTGCTTAAACAATCGATAATATCTTGTATATGGTTACTTTTATATTAGTATTATAATTATTATAGAAGTAACCCTATACAAAATATTAATACCAATAATATATATATTAAAATAAATACATAAAAATAAATATTGTAATAAATAATAGTAAATAGTAAATAATGCAAGGGTGTATATATTATTTAAAAGCACTGATATTTCTGACACCTTACATGGCAGGAGTTGGTCTGAAACCAATTATATTAGACAGAGAGTTTATTGGTCAGTTGAAGCTGACATAGAGTTCTGGCACAAATCTCCTCGGTTCGACCCTGAGCAAACTCTTCAGAGACATTCCTCTCTGTTTAACACTGCTGGATGAAATTCTGCAAATATACCACACGATTCTCTTAACGTTCTAGAATGTCTGTCAGAAAACTCCTGGCAATCAAGGACCAATGTGAACATATTAATATCTGGGAGAATATCTGACACATTTAACAGAGCAGGATCTAGAGGAGGTTCCTTCTTGAAGAGAGCATTAACAGTTTTGATTTGGAATATTAATCTATAGTGTAACAGAGACAACATTAATGGATGTGTGTCTGACTGACCTCGTGTTTGTTTAACTGAAGGTGATAACGCGAGCTAGATTTCTATACCTCACACCCTTGTGCCACCCTGAGAATCAGCCAAATACCACCAATGTTCTTCTGCACAGCAAGTTAACAGGATGTTTACTACATGATGTTTTTTGAATGAATTTAAATGGAATAAAATAAATTATTGGAATTTATGATTAAATTTTTTTTTAATTAAGTATATTTTAAATATATAAATATAATTTTATAGTTTTATATATATATATATACACATACACACACACACACACACACACACACACACACACACACACACGCTACTTAAAATGTAAACTGACTTAGAATTACAACCAGCCATGCCTGTATACATTTTAAAGTTGTGCTATGGGGGGAAGAATGCAAAGTATTTATATTGCACATATTTAATCCAAAAAGGGGGTTTACAATTCCATCACGTAATTGCTTTAGGCATCAATCATGATAGATGAATGGGTAGTCCAAACCGGTAGCCCAAACATGCTCTGCATTGTGTGGATTACGCAGTTACATTTTCGAGGGTGGTCGGGGGTCTTGGTGTGGGGTGGGAGGGGTCGACATGTGAAGCTCTGTCTTGGGCGCATTCTGTGGTATAAACCAAACCACAGTTCCGCGAGCTCAGCTGTCAGGTGCGCGTCATCGTGTGCCACCGATCAGTCTCCGCGCGCTCTGCTTACTGACTCCGAGATGTTGCACGGTCCTACCTGACTTTTCTTAGCCGTTTCTCTGCTCCTGCACGTGAAACAGAGCTCGACAGTTCCGCTGCCTGCGAGCCGAGAGGAGCGAGCGGGTTATCATGAGTTGTCTGGATGTTATGTACCCGGCTTATGGTCATTACGCACCGTACGCGCACAAAGCTTCAGCGTTCATCAGCACTTTACCGGTAAGCAGGTTTTCGCGCAATGCAAATGGGAAATGCATATTTAAACTATAATTAAATTAAAAATGCAAGTGTGCAGTTTTACACTTTTTAATGTTTATGTCACGAATGTGTTTGCTCTGTGTGTGAGGTCTGTTAGAGCGGGGCAAGCTGTCACATTCAAGTGAATATTTCTTAGGTTCTGTATCGGCACAAACCTTTGATTCTCGGCCATCTAAAGCAGTCGAACATTTCCGTTATCACATAGAAATACAATTCAGTAAGATGCAGTTAATTGAACACGTTGACCTTTTGCGCGGGGCATGCTGTTACATTACATGGGGCAAGGTGATATTAAACCGTTTGCATGGATTTTTCAGCTACATTTAAACAGTAAAAAAGTAGGAAACAACAAATCAATTCATGAAATAGCAAAAATGTTGCAGGTAATGTAAAAAGTGTAAAAACAAGTGTTGTGGTCAACGAATATTGTGATTGATAAATTGCAAAAATAAATATAAAATAACTTTCACAACACAGGTGGTAACTGAATGTGTACTTGTGTAACTTTATTGTGTTTAAGTTTTTTATCCAACCAAATATTTTGGGGAAAAAATATGATAGTGTAATTTTGAAGATTCACAAAAAGTAATTCTAATTTAAGAGAGTTTAGAACAAGATGTTTGAAACCAACATACAAAACCACTGCTAGAGAAAACAAGCTTTGGTGTAAGGATTTTTGACACACAACTGTATAGTTACTGAGAATATGACAACTAGCCCTGGTCTTACCTGGTCAAATATATATTTTATAAATGATCGCAACTGTCATACACTCCTACACATACATTCATAATTACACGGTCAGATACATGCACATACACCCAAGCATACATAAATACGGACACAAACACAAACAGAATGTGTCGCAATGTCTTTCAGCTACTTCTTTTTCTTAGGCACCCCTTGGTCTGAGAAGCCCCTCGTCTCGCTGTAGGGATCCGATGGACAGCGTGGGGGCCCCGTGCTGCTCGGAGGGTGTCCTGGTTTCTGCCAAAAGTTCCAGCTCGGGGGGTCCGTCCCCATCACCGTATCCTTCAGCTGGACAGGTAGAGGAGGCTAGGAAGGACAAAGAGGTCAGGGAGGCAGAATACCTGAGCTCACGATGTGTCCTCTTCACCTATTACCAAGGGGACATTAGCAGCGTGGTGGACGAACACTTCTCCAGAGCTCTCAGCACCTACATGGAGGCCGAGGGTAAAAAGAGGCACAGTGATCCCAACACAGGTGAGAGTGCGGCAAAATCACCCATCAGTTTGAATGAAGACAGATGCAAGACACAGGCAAAAGAAAAGGAATTTAAAATCACTGCAAATCCTTTGCGTGCACAAATCTCAGCTAAGTGAACTCAGTGAGCTCAGTTGTACAATGCACTCAATCGAATCAAATCAAAAAATGAATTTAATGTATCTGAATGAAGCTGCTTATTAGAACAAAGTCATTGAGAAATGAAAGAACAATACATTTTTAAGGGACACTTCACCCCAAAATGAAAATGATGTCATTATTTAGTCATGTATTATTACCCTCAAGTCGTTCCAAACCAGTGCAACTTCTTTTCTTCTGCACACGTAAAACTAAAGGTTCTTGATTTGCATCATTGGTTCCATGAAGAACTTTTAACATCCACCTTTCCATTGCACAAAAGTTTCTTTATAGTGAAAAGAGGTTCAGATTATTAAAATATTCTTCACACTAAGAAATAATTTTTTCTTTAAAAAAAAAACTTTTCTCAACTGTTTTATTTTTATTTATATTTTTTTAAAGAAAGTTCTTTGGGGAACTCAACATTTTTCTGCTCTTGAATCAATATGAAAACACTCTTTTAGAATCACTATTTTGAGGAATTCAAAAGAAGACATTTTGAAGGATGTTTCAGCTGTTTGTATACATGCACAAAAAATGGTAACCTAAAAACAGTAACATCTAAATTAACTGGTTTTATTGAAGTCAAACATATTATCACTTTATATACATATATACATACATTTACATACAAACTACACACATACAAACAACACTAAATTTGATGGGTTCAATTAGATAACTCTTTAAGGTAACAATAGCAGGATATCACTTTTTACAGTGAAAGTCAGTGAGGCCCATAAGTTTCAAGCTACAAAAACAGTCTTCAAAGCTGAAACAGTCTTTAAAATATCTTTTGCCTTTTAAACAGTCTTTTAAACAGTCTTTAAAATATCTTTAAGGGGAAGTCGTGGCCTAATGGTTAGAGAGTCGGACTCATAACCCAAAGGTTGTGGGTTCGAGTCTCGTACCGGCAGGGCTTGTAGGTGGGGGGAGTGAATGTACAGCACTCTCTCCCACCTTCAATACCATGACTGAGGTACCCTTGAGCAAGGCACCGAACCCCCAACTGCTCCCC